GTCTACTGATGAAACGTGCAGGGTGTCCTTTATGCAGCTATGTCATTCTTCATTTCTCCTTGATTCATATCCATTTGTGTATTTCCCATTCAGCTCATTATAATTTTCATTCAGTGCTTGTAATTCTCAGACAGATGTTTTAGCATCTTTATAACCATTACTTTGAATTCTTTATCTCACAAATTATTTGCCTACATTTCATTTAGTTCCTTTTCTCATGATTCCTCTTTATGTCTTTCCTTTGTGGATTGTTTCTTTGTCTCCCCTTTTTTTGCTGTTCCTTTGTATTTTTTTTTCCATGTATTAGATCAAATTGCTATGTCACCCAATTTTTTTGGAGGTACTCTTATGTAGTAGGTGTTTTGTGGGACCCAGTGGTACAGTCTCTATCTCCTGAGCTGGGTGTTCTAGGAAAGCCCCTTACTTGAGTTATTTGGGTTCTCCTGATGCAGTTGGGACTTGAATGTTATTGTCCCATTTGTGGATGGAGTCTCCTTACAGGTTGTCTGACTATGTGGCTCACCCCAACCTTGCCATGCAAGCTGTTGTGGATGTGCTCAGGGTTCTAGCTCCCAAAGCAAGAGTCACCTGCAAGGTCCCACTGGCATGCAACTCACTACACAGTCCTGGAGCCTGCACCAAGGTGGCCAGTGACTCTGTGACTCACTGTGGGGATCCTAGAACCCACGGAGAGGGTCTCTTTCTAGGTCCCGCTGGTATGCTGCTCACTGCGCAGGTGCAGTGGGTCTAGGGTAGTGTCCAATGCCAGTCTGGTTGGTGGTGAAGCTGTACTCTTAGCCACCACTGCTCTCCCCCTTCAAGATGGCATGGTTTCCATGCCATCGCCATGGCCTTCCAGGCAGTGTCTGTGGCAATAACAGGGGCTCTTTGTCCAGGAGAGTCTGATCTGCCAGCCCCTGAGACTCCTGTGAAATCTAACTGTCCCTCATAGACAAACACACAAACCATGCACATTCACACATTCCCCTCTCACTCCCTTACTCATTCACACTCTCACCCTCACTCCCATCCTGCCAGCCATCATGCTCTATTACTTTACTTTTTATTGGTTTTATCAAAGTTAGAAGGTGTGAGGGTAAAGGTTTGCCTCGTTTTCTTGTAGGAAAAATTATACTTTTCAAAGAAGAATTGGGGAGAGGAATAATACTACCATATGATTTAAAAATTAACCTCATGGGAATCTGTTTGGTCTCATGTCTTTTATGGCACTCCATGAAAACCAAGACCATATCTTATTTCTGATACTGCAGTACTTACTTCTTGGTACATGTGCATATAAGTGCTTGCTTGAATGAATAAAAAATAGCCTTCTGATTCTAGTTCCTCTAAATATGGAAAAAATTCTCATATAAAAATCAAGAGATATTTATTGTTTGGGTTGCCTAGAATTGGCAAGACTGTCCATTTAAATGACTTGTATTCCCTCAAGAAACTTCCTTGTGCTCCATAAAGTGAGCACAAATTTCTAGCAGGCATCACAGACCTTCTCCAAAGCACTGTGCAGTGGCTATCTCTGGGGAGGATGCTCTGAGAAATCCACTTTTTACTATTTTACCCAAGGGAGCAACACCCCAAGTATCTAATATTTTTGTTGTTGTTGCATATTTCCAGCACAAAATGATAATAAATCACAATAAAATTATATTAAACATAGAAAATCATACTTTCCCCTCCTTTAAAAAATAAATTGCCCATGAAAATTTACCAGTCATGAAGGTGAAAGTGATGGGAATTCCTGAAATATGCTGGAAGCAAGCTGAAAGCTAGAAAAAGTAATTCCCTCTATTCTCATATAGTTTTATATGTAAGAGTCAGCATTTCAGAGTAGCTCTTTCTTAGTACATTTCAAATAAGAACATATCGCTGTCTCATGTATCACAGATAATTTCATTTCCCATGAGGTATCATCTAAAATGACCTAAAACAAAATTACCCCTTCACAAAGCTATCTGAAGTGCCTCCTGACTTCACCACTGTCAAATTCTTTGCTTCTTTGATGAGCACTTCTAGTATTCCTCCAGAGAGTACAGGTGGTTTCTTCGTTCCCCTTTTAAAGGTCTTCTTTCCTGTGTGAGCTATCAAAATGAAAGGGAGAGAGAGAGAAGGAGGAGGAGGAGGAGGAAGAAGAAGAAGAAGAAGAAGAGGAGGAGGAGGAGGAGGAGGAAGAAGAGGAGGAGGGAGATAGATCATGAGTTCCACTTAAAAATTTACTAAAAAATACTAAGATTTATTTCATTTGTTAATTGAATCAGGCCTTAACACATAGTTACCTTTTTATTAGGTTTTGTGAGAACACTTAAGATTTACTCTTTTAGCCAATTTCAAATATACAATATAATACCATTAGGTATAGATACAATGCTGTACATTAGCTCTCCAGAACTTATTCTGCCCTAAAGTGAAAGTGTGTACCCTTTGAGCAACTTCTCCCTATTCTCCCCTTGCCCAAGCCCCAGGTTACCACTGGTTTACACTCTGCTCCTATGAGTTTGACTTTTTTTAGATTTCACATATAAGTGAGGTCAGACAGTATTTTTATCAATTACATCTCAATAATGCTGGGGAGGGGAAATAAATTTTATGCTATGATTCTAAGGCCTTCCAGGGTTTGTGAGGAAATCCCCCAGAAAGATACATGATCTTCTTTGGGGGCAAACTTCATTTGAGGTTCTGTATCACTTTCCAACTATATATGAATTTAAGCTAAGGTGGATTGTATTTTGACACAGTGACCACAAATATTGAATTTTCCAAAGCTACAGTTTCACATTAATAACAATAATATTTCAGATTGCAGACTTAAGTATGGAACAGATATCTTAATATTATTGTATATTTTTCCATGTATTGATTTAATTTATTTTTACTCTGTTGGATTTCGTCTAGATAGGTCTTTCATTTGTGTTTGTTGGGAAAAATAAACAAATAAATTTAAAACTTTAAGTACTACCCTGCAAAGTATCTTTTCACAGACTATAAAAGAATAAAATGCAAATGATCCTGAGAGTTGCCTGAGCCACATTCCTGCTCTCATTGGAAAATAACTACAATGAAAACCACACACAAGCATCAAGACTCTAAAAGAGAAAATTCCATAACTCTCTTCTTTGAAATTTTAGTCTTGTAAATTGTCATCTCCATGCAGGGCTAGTTCTTTATAAGGGCTATAGCCCAGGCACAATTATATTTTTGAGTGAAAGAACACTCTTTCTACATCCCATCTATAAATATTAAAGCCTAAGCGACCGTTAAGACCAAACGACCAGAACGACTGGAACGACTGGTCGACCAGTCACTATGATATGCACTGACCACCAGGCGGCAGACACTCAATGCAGGAGCTGCCCCCTGGTGGTCAGTGAACTCCCACAGTCAACCTCCCATGGCCCCTCCCCCCAGCCAGCCAACCTCCCACAGCCCAGCCTCCTGGCTGGCTGACCCCCCTGATCAAACCCCAATGGGGGGCTGGTCGGCCAACCTCCCATGACCCCTCTTCCTGGCCGGCCAAACTCTTGCAGCCCCTCCCCCAAGCCAGCCAACCTCCTGTGGCCCTTCCCCCTGGCTGGCCAACCTCCCGTGGCCTCTCCACCCTCCCCACCAGCCAACCTTCTGTGGCCCCTCCCCCCAGCTGGCCAACCTCCCATGGCCCCTCACCCTGGCCGGCCCCCCAATAGGCCTCGATCACCAGCCAGACCGAGGGATCGCACCGGTGCATGAATTCGTACACTAGGCCTCTAGTTTCTATTATAATGAAATGTGCTCAACATGAATAATAACCACCACCACCTTTATTTAGTACAGTTTTAAGCAGTTTCATAAATGAACCTACAGTGGGGCCTTGACTTACGAGTGTCCTGACTAACGAGTTTTTTGAGATAGGAGCCGTCTCTCGGCAGATTTTTTGCTTTGAGTTACGAGCTAAAATTTGGGTTATGAGCCAGCTTCAGATACCCCACTGCTAGTTGGCACAGCGAACGTCACAGTGAACGCCACAACATCAGCCCAGCATCACGTGTCTCACTAGTTCACTTTTTGATTTGACATACGAGTAATTTGAGTTACGAGCTCTGTCACGAAATGAATTAAACTCGTAAGTCAAGGCCCCACTGTATTTAATCCTTGCAATGTCCTTATGAAGTTAAGGAAACTGAGGCCGAGATATAGTAAGTTACTTACACAGGGTCACAATGAAGAGAGTGATAATGAATGGAAGGATAGAGGAGACTGCCTATAGGAGTTGATGGAAGGAGAAAAACAAGAGGGATTTAAAAGTTGACTCCATCTGGATTTTTCCTTTATATTCTGTGTTCTAGATCAGCACTTCCTCAAGACTTGCTGGGTAGCTGTGAATGTCATTAAGCCATACAGCAGCTATCTATACCTCCCCTCTCTGCAGACAACTCCCCCCCTCCCCAGGGAAGATCCTATATCTCTGGGACTTCACAGAAACAAATGTTGCCATTAAGACTGGTTTCTATGTATGAACTTAAAATCCCATACCCTTCTCCATATATAGTACATCTCAACTCTCCTCAAAAGCCAGTGACACCTAACCCTTTACATTTCATGTGTGTAATGCAAAAATAACATAGTCCAAAGAATCTCTGATCCCTATTCTCACACTTCTAGAACAAAATGTTCTTGATTAAAGGCATTTATTTTTACTTTACCTTGAAGTTGTCCTGGTGGGAACATCAGGTATTCATCTGGGGGAATATATCGTAAAACAACTGTCAGCTCTCCTTTGTATTGAAGTCCAATGTCAGTAGATAATTCCATCTGGCCAAGGGAAGACATATAAAAAGAAAAAGTGAAAATGCTTGTTTTGTTATTTTGTAGCCCATGTTTGTACAACATTTACTTGGTGATTTAAATGTGAGAATCCATTCCCATTCAACTATGTTATCACTTACTGGTTTAAGAGATGTCTTATGTATGAGAAAAGAGAGGCTGGAAACTCTAAGAAGGCATTTACATATAACTTTTAACATTAAATTAAAAAGAATTTGAGAGGAGATGTGTAATACACATTTGGTCAGTTAATAGATACTGAATGCCTGTGATGCATTGAGGACTGGACCATCACTGAACATTCATATAGTTTGGGGTATGAGGCAGGGATAAAGATGTCACTGAAGATAGCCTCATAAGGTACTTCTTCCTGTCTGTCCTAGATGTCCCAAGGCTTTCATAAGTGACTAAGAAGGGGAAAGTAAGCAGTAATGCTTGATTCACATTGGGCTACCAGCCACCAATTATAATTCACATCACTAAAATTCAATGTGGAAAAACTAATTCACTAAAACATTGCTGGTGGAAATGTAAAATGGTGTAGCCAATCTGGAAAATAGTTTGGCAGTTTCTTAAAAGACTAAATATGTAACTGCCATACAACCTAGCAATTGCACTTGTGGGCATTTATACTAGAGAAATAACAGATTATATGCACATAAAAACCAGTCCACAAATATTTGTATCATCTTTATTTATAACTAGTAGCCCAGTGTACGAAACTAGTGCACATTAAAAGGGAATTAATTAGTGGAAATATATTAATATTGCTGTTTGCCCTTTCTCTATAATAGAAGTGTGAGAGATGAAAGGAAATTGGTAAAATGTATATGAAAATAATATATAAATTTATTAATAAATAAACAGTAGCAAAAGGATATAACAACAGAGGCATAATATAAAACCAACAAACACATGATATAAAAACAACAGTGATGCAAACAATGACTGATAAAGTGATTAAACTTATTCTAATATCTCCCTGTACACCACATTAAAAGTGAAAACACTTTCAGAGTGCTTGACTAATTTCCCTTGTGCTGAAGTATTTAGAACTTTAACTTTAACGTCACATGCTCTTTGAACTTGAGAGAAAGCAACATATAACTGACCATGTGCGGAAACGGGTTCAGGTAGGAATATGCCTACTCTGTCTAGAGTTTGTCCTTGTGATTTATTAATAGTTATCACAAATGCTGGCATCACGGGAAACTGTTTTTGAATCAATTTAAATGGGAGGCCAGTGTCAGATGGGGCCAAATCAATTATTGGAATCAGAACAACCTCTCCCTCTGCAGATCCTGTTAATACTTCAGCTTCGATAATGTTAGGTTGTAATCTTTTGATAATAAATCTGGTACCATTACAAAGACCCCATTTACTATTAAGATTTCTCAATAGTATGATGGTTGCACCCACTTTCTTTTCTTTTTTTTGGTTTCTAAGTGTATTTTATTTATTATTATTATTATTTTTTATTGCTTAAAGTATTACAAAGAGTATTACATATGTCTCCTTGTTTTTTTCCCAGCCCTTGACAATCCCCCGGCCTCCCCTACCCCCCAGTGTCTTATGTCCATTGGTTACGCTTATATGCATGCATACAAGTCCTTCGGTTGATCTCTTACCCCCCTCCCTCCTGCCCCCCAACCCTCCCCGGCCTTCCCGCTGTAGTTCGACAGTCTGTTCGAGGCAGCTCTGCCTCTGTATATATTTTTGTTCAAAAGTTTATTATGGTCTTTATTATCCATAAATGGGTGAGATCATGTGGTTATTTTCCTTCATTGACTGGCTTATTTCACTTAGCATAATGCTCTCCAGTTCCATCCATGCCGTTGCAAATGGTAAGAGTTCCTTCTTTTTTACAGCAGCATAGTATTCCATTGTGTAGATGTACCACAGTTTTCTAATCCATTCATCTACTGATGGGCACTTAGGCTGTTTCCAGATCTTAGCTATGGTGAATTGTGCTGCTATGAACATAGGGGTGCATAGATCCTTTCTGATTGGTGTTTCTGGTTTCTTGGGATATATTCCTAGAAGTGGGATCACAGGGTCAAATGGGAGTTCCATTTTTAGTTTTTTGAGGAAACTCCATACTGTCTTCCAGACCACTTTCAATTTTAATTTATGACACAGCATTCCCAAAGGAGTAATACTATTAAGAAACTTGATGGGAAAATTTTCCTTTTCAGCATCATCTGTGGAATCAATGGAATCATCACTCAAATATATGTGAAAATCTCCATCGAGTATATCCAAAATTTCTTCATTTACTTTTTGAACGTGCTCATTTTTTGGACAAAGAATTGCACGTTTAGATATATTTTTAATATTATCTATAGATATAGTATTTCCAAAGATAGCTTCAATAATAGATCCATTACAAATCATTTCACAGATTTCAATAATATCCATTCCTAAATGAAAACTGCTATCATTTGCCATCTCCAAGTTTTACTAACCATTCACTATAATCAGAATCCTCTGATCTCATATTTGTTGTAAGAGACAACTTTCTGAAACATCCCCAAACATTGCAGTACTTTAAACTCGTTTGTACTATGGCTGATTGCATAGCATGTGGTACAATACTGAGACATTGTCAAAAATCCCCTCCAAGAAGGAGAACTTTCTCACCAAATACAACATTCAAATTTCTCTTAGTAATCTGTCTATGGCGTTTATAGCATGACTGGGTGCCATGGTGCATTCATCAATAATGAGAAATTGGGCCTTTTTAATAGTTTTAGCAACTTCACTGTTTATATCGAGTCTAGAAATTGAAGTTTCATTTAGTGGAATGGGTAATTTATATTGGGAATGAAAGGTGCTTCCATCGAGAAGTAAATTTGCAGCAATTCCTGTAGACGCTGTGGGTAAAACAGTACTACCATGACCTCTAATATAATGTATTAAAACTTTATAAAAATACGCATCCATGCTCCGAGGGCCGATTCCTGCCTTAAACCTCGCCCTTACCAGAAACAGCTCAGAGAGGGCGCAGCTGTGGCTAAGAGAACCCAGGACTTAGTGTGTCCACACTCTGAGGGCGAGTTCCTGCCTGAAACCTTGCCGCCCTCCTGGGAAACAGCTCAGGGAGGGTGCAGCTGTTTCCAAGACAACCCCTGCAGGACTAACTTCCTTCCGTTTGGTCAAGCCTCGGTCATGCTGTTACACCCAGGGTTTTTATATAAATAGACTAGAGGCCCGGTGCACAAAAATTTGTGCACTTGGGGGGGAGGGGGGGTCCCTCAGCCCGGCCTGTGCCCTCTCGCAGTCTGGGACCCCTCGGGAGATAACGACCTGCTGGCTTAGGCCTGCTCCCAGGTGGCAGAGGGCAGGCCCAATCCCTAGGTGCAGCCCCTGGTCGGGCTCAGAGCAGGGCCGATTGGGGAGTTGGGGCGCCGCCCCTTGTCATGCACAGAGCAGGGCAGATCGGGAGGTTGCGATGCCACCCCTAGTCACGCTCAAGGTAGAGCCGATTGGGGGGTTGGGGCACCACCCTCTGTCACACTCAAGGCAGGGTCGATGGGGAGGTTGCGGCCCCACCCCCTGTCATGCACAGAGCAGGCCCGATCAGGGGGTTGGGGGCGCTGCCCCCTGTCACTCACAGAGCAGGGCCCATCAGGGGGGTTGGGGGCTCCGTACCCTGTCACACACAAGAGCAGGGTTGATCAGGGGGGTTGGGGGAGCTCCCCCCTGTCACACACAGAGCAGGGTTGATCAGGGGGTTGGGGAGCTCCCCCCTGTCACACACAGAGCAGGGTGGATCAGGGGGTTGGGGCACTGCCACTGTCACACTCAGGGCAGGGCCGATCAGGGGGTTGGGGCGCCGCAACTGTCACACTCAGGGCAGGGCCGATGTGGAGGTTATGGCTCTACCCCGTCACACACAGAGCAGGGCCCATGGCGGGGGGGGTTGGGGAGCCACACCCTGTCCACACAGAGCAGGGCCGATCAGGGGGTTGGGGCGTCGCACCCTGTCACACACAGAGCCGCAGGCAAATCAGGGGGTTGGGGAGCTCCCCCCTATCAGGCACAGAGCAGGGCTGATCAGGGGGTTGGGGTGCCTTCCCCTGTCACGAACAGATCAGGGCGGATAGGGAGGTTGTGGCCCAGCCCCCTGTCACACACAGAGGTGCAGGGCAATCAGGGGGTTTGGTTGCTGCCCCCTGTCACGCTGATCCCAGTGCCAGGAGGCATATTACCCTTTTACTATATAGGATAGAGGCCTGGTGCATGGGTGTGGGCCGGCTGGTTTGCCCTGAAGGGTGTCCTGGATCAGGGCGGGGGTCCCGCTTGGGTGCCTGGCCAGCCTCGATGAGGGGATGATGGCTGTTTGCATCTGGTCACACCCCCTTCAGGGTGGGGGTCCCCACTGGGGTGCCTGGCCAGTCGGGGTGAGGGGCTGAGGGCTGTTTTCAGGCTGGCGGGTGACTGAAGCTCCCAACCTCTCCTTTTTTTCTTTTTTTTTAAATTCTGGGCAAGCTTTAGCTCTGAGGCTTGGCTCCAGCTCTGAGGCCTCTGCTGCTGAAAGCAGGTATCTGGTTTGTTTGGGTTCTATAATTGTAACACTGTTGCAGTCCTGCTCACTCCAGCTCTGACGGCTGAAAGCAGGTTTCTGGGGTTTTGTTTAGCTTCTATAATTGCAACAATGTTTCTTAAACTGCAGCTCAGAGGCCGGCAAGGCAGGCAGGGAACCTTGGCTTCCTCCATCACTGGAGCAAGCAAGCCTCCTTTTCGCTTCAGTGCCTGGCTGCCAGCCGCCATCTTGGTTGGCAGTTAATTTGCATATCCTGCTGATTAGCCAATGGGAAGCGTTCGGGGGTATGGTCAATTTGCATGTTTATCTTTTATTAGATAGGATAGTAACCCACTGGAAACTACCTAGATGTCCCTCAAGAAGTGGATGGTTAAATTAACTGTGATATATCCATACCATAGAATACTACTCAGCAGTAAAAAGGAATGACTATTGATATACA